CTTTGGGTAGGGTTCTTTATTCCTTTGACCAAAGACCTGACATTCAATAATAATATCCCTTTTTCTTTCATAGAATCAACTCTGCTTGTAAAATTTTTCAGTAGCTCTCCAATTCTTATAAGGCAAAGTACAAATCATTTAGCAAAGCACACAAGGCCTTTTGTGGTGTGGCCCCTACCTATATCTGCATCTTTACCTCTAGAATTAACCCCATTCCCTGTTCTTGCTATCCAGCAGTCATTGGCATCTTATCTACTTACCCTGACTATCCCTTGACTATCCACCAGTCATTCTTTGCATCTGATCTACTTACCCTAACTATGAACTGAGAAGTCAGGCCTCTGCCAGGGATCCTCCATGCGTCAGGAACGCAGTGTTCCACTCGCCCATCTGGGAAATACGTAATTATCTTTCAGGATGCATCTATTACTGCCTGTGTAAACCCTTCCTGTATCATTGGGCAAAATTGTCCATCTTTTCTTCCCTTGCTTCGTGTAACCTGTAAATTTCTCTTATGGTACCTATTGTTTGTGTAGATTTATATATGCTCCTACCAAATGATACAAAGATTGTTTTGAAAAAAAAAAAAATTGATTTAGTCGCCATCAGCTAAAACAGCACCAGACAAAGGGTCCCATAAGTGTTATTGGGCAAATTAATAAATTTTGTATAACAAGTGACTCCTTTAAAAAGTTATTAACCAAGCCAGGTGCGGCAGCTCATGCCTATAATCCCAACACTTTGGGAGGCTGAGGCAGATGGATCACTTGAGGTCAGAAGTTTGAAACCAGTCTGGCCAACATGGTGAAACTTCATCTGTACTAAAAATATAAAAATTAGCTGGGCATGATGGCTCACACTTGTAATCCTAGCCACACGGGAGGCTAAGGTAGGAGACTTGCTCGAACCCAGGAGGCAGAGGTTGCAGTGAGCCGAAATCACTCCACCCTGGGCTTCAGAGCAAGTCTAAAAAAAAAAAAAAAAAAAAAAAAAAAAAAAAAAACTGTTCATCTGCTCAATCCCTAAAATTATTCTTCTGATTTAATTAAAAGTAATTTCTGGTTGTTTTAAAACATCAGATTTATTTTCAACACACTTATGCCGTCATATAGATAATTCAAGATAAAAATCTAATTCTAAGCTCAATTTCAAAGAAAAAAATTTGAATGCTAGTTCTGACACTTACTGATTAAGTTGGACCAGTTCCCACAAACAGAAAGTGTCAGAGCTAGCATTTAGACCCACTGGGACTCCTAAGCTGATGGTTTCACTATGACTTACATACTTTTTCTTACAAGATATAAAATCTCGACAAGAGTATTTACATCCCATGAATAGTATTCAAGTTTTAAGTTAAGAAATAAAATAATAACAACCTCTATTCTACTCCATCTTCCTGCCAGCAGCTACCCCATTTCTTTTCTCTGCTTTGTAGTGACACCTTCCGAATAACTGTCTATATTCACTTTATTCAAGTTTTTTTTTCTCAGCTCTATAACATACTCCAATCAGGCTTTCATCACTTCTACTCCACTGAAATTGTCACCAGTAAACTTCATGGCTGAATCCAATGTTTGTTTCTCAATCTTCATCTTACACGACCTATCAGAAGCTTTTGGCACTGTTGATCTCACCCTCCATCTTAAAATTTGCTTTCCACATGGCTGACTCTTACCTCACTGGCCATTTGTTCTCCATGTCCTTTTCTTCTCCCAGACTGATTCTGATCTTAGCCCTTAACTCTCTTCTCTGTTGTATGCGTCATTATTCCCTCACTTTTCTCTTATAGTTGTATACCTTTAAATACAATTTAAATGTCAACAGCTCCCAAATTTATATCACCAACCCAGGCATCAGTCACAAACTCCACACTTACAGAATCAATATATCCTAAACTAAATTTCTGATCTTACATTTCAAACCACTCTAACCATGGATGGCCACTCTGGATGATCAATTCTAATTCTGGTTGTTTAGATCAAAATCCTTAGCCTGAATCTCATTTTAGACCCTATGTTCAGAAAATCTTAATGGCACTCTTCTCAAAACATATCCAGAGTATGTTCTCATCACCTTCAATGGTCTAAACAACCATCATCTCTCCACTCTATACCACAATAGCTTTATAATGGTCTCCCTACTTCTCTTACACCTTCATAGTTCTTGCACAACAGCTAAAGTCATCTCTTTAAAATATCAGTCAAGGCATGCCATTCTTCTGTCTAAAAATCCTGAACTAGCTCCCCATTTCACTCAGTGAAAAGTACTTGCAGTGGTCTACTGTTTAGTGTTTTCATTTTGTTTCAGTATTAATAGGAGAGTTCTAAACAATGTAACTTTCAGCCAGGTGCAGTGGCTCACTCCTGTGATCCCAGCACTTTGGGAGGTGGATCATTTGAGGTCAGGAGTTCGAGACCAGCCTGGCCAACATGGCAAAATCCTGTCTCTACTAAAAATACAAAAATTAGCCGGGCATGGTGGCCTGCACCTGTAATCCCGGCTACTTGGGAGGTCAGGGCAGGAGAATTGCTTGAACACTGGAGGCAGGGTTTGCAATGAGCTGAGATCGCACCACTGCACTCCAGCCTGGGCAACAAAGTGAGATTCTGTCTCAAAAAATAAAAATAAATTAAAAAATAAAATAAAATTAAATAAATAAATAAATAAATAAATAAAAGTGTAGCTTTCAAAATCTCTCATTTTTCAGTCTCAGAAGGTTACTCTGGTTTTAGCAAAACTATTTCATATACAATAAAACGATTTTAAGAAAAATTGTAGTGATTGCTCATTCTTAAATAGTGTAGTGAGGCAAACGTGGTTAAAACTTGAGATCGACGCCTGTTCCTTGGTTTAAAAAAAAAAATAATCTGTTTCCACTTACTGATTGTCTCTTTTTTTTTCTTTTTTGTCTGAAAGTTTATTCCTTTGATTTTTAAGTAGCTATACAAAAGTTAAAAAAATTTTCAGTGAAGGTGAGATTATTCTGGCTTTAAAACTTCATAGGTATTAAAGAATGAATAAATAACTACTTGGGAAGCACTTATTCTTATCCTAAAGGAATTTATTTTTATTAATAAAAATGACAGAATGGAGATTGGCAGTAACTATCCACTATAACTTATATAATTTCTTTCATGCTTGTTATATATTAAAAAAAACTCACTAACAAGTGAAGTTATACATGAAGAAGCCAGACTTAATGGGAAAAAAAGGAACATTCTAGATCATGTGAGAAATAAAGTGAAATTACAGTTTTCTTCCCAGCACAGAAATATGAAAGCTGAATAAAAAGTCAATTATAGGTGAAAGAAAGAACATTAAAGAAATTGCTGTGCATTCCACAGGATCATCAGCGTTTTATGTCAAGTTTCAGAGCTTCTTTTAAGCTGAGAAATATGTCCATATTACCTTAAATGAATATGACAAGTATAAAAGAATTTGAAAGAAAAGAAAGAGAGCATTTTTAGTTTTGGATACCTAAACATGTAGGTATCCAATTTAATATTTTAATCTAAAATTTGACAATCTTAACAATAGAAGATCCTTCTCACTCTAATCTTTTCTTTATTTTTCTCCATTAAGTCTAGATAGACTTATGTATTTGTCAGTTCTCACACTGTCATAAAGATACTAGAAGAGACTGGGTAATTTTTTTTTCTTTTTGAGATGGAATTTCACTCTTTGTTGCCCAGGCTAGACTGCAATGGCGTGATCTCAGCTCACTGCAACCTTTGCCTCACGGGTTCAAGCAATTCTCCTGCCTCAGCCCCCCAAGTAGCTGGGATTACAGGCATGCGCCACCATGCCTCGGTAATTTTGTATTTTTAGTAGAGACAGGGTTTCTCCATGTTGGTCAGGCTGGTCTCGAACTCCCGACCTCAAGTGATCTGCCTGTCTTGGTGGGAGTGCTGGGATTACAGACATGAGCCACCGCCCCTGGCTGAGAGTGAATAATTTATAAAGGACAGATGTTTACTTGACTCACAGTTACGCATGGCTGGGGAGGCCTCAGGAAACTTAAAATCCTGGCAGAAGGGATAGGAGAAGAAAGCACCTTCTTCAGCAGGTGGCAAGAAAAGAGAGAGAGCAAGAGAAACTGCCACTAAGAAAACCATCGGATCTCTAAGAACTCACTCACTATCATGAGAACAACATGGGGGAAACCGCTCCTGTGATCCAATCACCTCCCCCCAGGTCTCTCTCTCAAAACCTGGAGATTACAATTCAAGATGAGATTTGGGTGGGGACACAAAGCCAAATCGTATCAACTTACATTTCATCTGTCTACAAGGAATGTGTTTTTTACAAACCAGTGTACTAAATGCACAATGGCTGATACAAATTATTATAATACTGATTGAATAAATGAATATAATGCTGGTATACAACCTACAATTTGCCATATATTGTGTTATATAATAGCAGTTCCATTTTGTGAAAAAGGAAAAGTAAGACTTAGAAAGGTTAAATGCATTACTTAGAAAGATTAAATGCATCTTAGTCAATAAGGTCATTTTTTGAGCGTAGACATCCAAATCTAAACTTGGACCCATCCTCTCCACAGACAGTTTATGTATTGGCATCTCACAATTATCATTAACTCAATAACATCATACCCTAAACTGTACTAATTATTCCCATCCCAATTTCCTCTTTCTTCTGTGTTCCCTATCAGTTAAAAATATCTGTTGGAGGTGCTGGAGAGGATGTGGAGAAATAGGAGCACTTTTACACTGTTGGTGGGACTGTAAACTAGTTCAACCATTGTGGAAGACAGTGTGGCGATTCCTCAAGGATCTAAAACTAGAAATACCATTTGACCCAGCCATCCCATTGCCGGGTATATACCCAAAGGATTATAAATCATGCTGCTATAAAGACACATGCACATGTATGTTTATTGCGGCACTATTCACAATAGCAAAGACTTGGAACTAACCCAAATATCCATCAATGATAGACTGGATTAAGAAAATGTGGAACTCGACTGCTCTGGGGGATTCGTGCGCGGTAAGAAGCTGCGCGGCAGCGCAGTGAGGTACTTCTGATGAAATTATGACCAGGTGGGCCCGAGTTAGTACCACATGTAACAAGAGACCCTTGCCTGCAACATCATGGGAGGACATGAAGAAGGGGTCCTTTGAGGGAACAAGCCAAAACCTACCAAAGCGTAAACAACGTGAAGCCAATAGGCTATCCCTCAAAAATGATGCACCCCAAGCAAAACATAAAAAGAACAAAAAGAAAAAGGAGTACTTAAATGAAGATGTGAATGGATTCATAGAATACCTAAGACAGAATTCACAGATGGTTCACAATGGGCAAATTGTAGCAACAGACAGTGAGGAAGTAAGGGAAGAAATTGCAGTTGTTTTAAAGAAAGACAGTCGACGGGAAGGAAGATTAAAAAGACAGGCGGCAAAGAAAAATTCAATGGTGTGTTTCCATTGTAGAAAACCTGGTCAAGGAACTGCAGATTGCCCTGCTGCCCTTGAAAATCAAGACATGGGCAATGGGATATGTTACAGGTGTGGGTCCACAGAGCACGAAATAACCAAATGTAAGGCTAAGGTAGACCCGGCTCTTGGCGAATTTCCTTTTGCAAAATGTTTTGTTTGTGGAGAAATGGGGCAGCTGTCTAGATCTTGTCCGGATAATCCCGAAGGACTCTATGCTGATGGTGGCAGCTGCAAGCTTTGTGACTCTTTGTGGAACATTTAAAGAAAGATTGCCCTGAAAGGCAGAATTCAGAGCGAATGGTCACAGTTGGTCGCTGGGCAAAGTGAATGAGTGCAGACTATGAAGAAATTTTGGATGCACCTAAACCGCAAAAACCCAAAACAAAAATACCTAAAGTTGTTAATTTTTGATAACAACTAGCACTATCATTAGTTACCACCTCGTCGTTACTTTCTAAACCAGGCCCACATCACGAGTTAGAGTTGAGCTCCCTTGTAGCCAGGACTATACTGTAGATATCAGTATGATCTGGGTGTGATGGAAAACAATTTTGTTTATTCTGTCCATCAAATTGTACTTCTAGCACTGTTTGGAGAAAACTGAAGAATAAGATGATTAAATGGATTCTCTAAAAGAACATATTTTAAGAGACAGAACTTAGGCATAACCAAGTAGTTGTATACCTGATTGTAACAATCATCTTTTATAAAAGCAAAATTATGCATAAATGTAAAACACCCCTAAACAAAGGGTACAAATGAATTTTTGGTTATATTGTTTTCTTGGCTCAAAGTATCAATTTATTATTATAATAGAAATTTATAAATTGCTAGAGAGTCTATATTTTTAAAATATGGAATAAAAATGCATTTTCTATTGCGGAAAAAAAAAAAGAAAATGTGGCACATATACACCATGGAATACTATGCAGCCATTAAAAAGGATGAGTTCATGTCCTTTAT